TTTGATGTATTAATCAAAATTATTTTTAAATTAAATGTTTTTAGTAATTTTTTTTTACAGAAACAAATTTACTTAATTTTTTGTATCCTATATTACAAAATACTTGAACATGAATTTTTTTTTTTGCCTACAGTCTCAAAAAGTATAGACACGGCTCTGTCCTTTGCCAACTTTGCGCTCTTGGCTTGGTCGTTGTAGAGTTCTTCTAGCTACTGATCATGATGATCATGAAGAAGACTGTTTCTCTGGTATATAACTTTCTTTCTCTGTATTTAACTTAATACCTTGCTTATACTCTTTATAATTCTTTGTGTTTTCTGATGATTCTTGTTCTTATGTGATTCATTATTTTAAAAATCTCTCTCTCTCCTTCTCCATTTTTCTTTTGACATGTTTGAAGAAGATAGAACTTGAGTATGACAGAGAGTGCGAGATAGACACCGTCTTCTATGCGACTGCTCGCAACGAAGGATGGTGGGATTATGAGAATTATTCATTACCCATAGATCTCGATTTCGATAATGGTGATAAATTGTTTGGGAAAGGACTCCGAAATCTGGGTTGCACATGAGAGCTTAGTATAAGATCTTTTGTCGCAAATGTTCAGCAGCAACCGCGAGATCTTCGTAAAGAGTTCAAGGAAACTTATTATAACCAGAATAAGAACAAGATGGGAGAATGGGTTGCACGAGATAAAAAGGGATTGGAAGCAGAAACAGAAGCTTTAGCATTAACATTCGACCGCTTTGAAAGAATAAATTTCACCAGTCTAGCTGTAAAGAGTCAGAGAGATATTACAGACCAAGCGATCATAGATGATATGGCAACATGGTTGGGAGAAACCAGAGAGCGTCACAATGTTATCCCATCAATGTTATCCTGATGGGAGGCCACTAAGGCTTTAGGGAGATTTTGAAGGCGATGAGGAAAAAAAAATCATGGAGTCATTATTAGTTTAAATTTGAATTTGTAACGTCTTCCACAAGATATTGAAGATTTCTCGGAAAAGCACAAAGTTGCCTTAGTGGACTGGAGAACTGAACTCCTTGGTCTAACTATTATTTTGTTGCATTGTTATATCTTCTTATATATAATTCTCGGACGCACAGATTTTAATGATCCCTGGTTTGAATACTTAACACATACGAATTTGGTTTAGAACCAAAGGGAGGGATGATCAATCAATACTCAAATTTCAGTGTTCAGTGTTGTGCATATCGTGGAGGCAATTCTTGGCAAAGAAGAGGCTAGACTTTTCAGCAAAGATAGAGCATATTGACGAGAAGCCTAAACACTAATGAGAAATTCATGGAAGAAAGATTTTCTCTGGTTTGCTGATTATTATTGAACGATACAGAAGTGTGGCTTCCAAGGCAAACACGTGTAAAGAACAAGACTCCAGCGCGGGTACAAATCACCACCGAGCAAATTCTAAGGGAAGCTCGAGAGAGACAAGAAGCTGAGATCTGTTGGAATAGATTCGTTTTCTGTACAAGAAAAAGGAATATCAAGTGAAAAGGAAAATCAAAGAAAACAAAGAAAAGGGAAAAACAAGCAAAAGGAAAATCAAGCAATAAAAGAAATTGGAGAAAGGAAAATCATGAAGAAAAGGCAAAATCTAGGAAATATAAATTTACAATATTGTTTAGAATCCTAACTCTATAAATAGAGTTCTAAACTTAAGGTTTTATGTATCA